ATTAGAGTTTATTAATTGCTTTCAGTTGTATTATATCAATGGATTATCACAAAATCTTTTTGTGAGGAATGTGGAACAACTTTTATCATTCCCATTTTACAAATGCGAAAATTGAGACTTGGGGGGAGGGTATGCTTCTTCAAGCAATTAGAAGTGGCAGCGCTCCCTCTGGACTTCAGGTCTTCTTGGGTATCGCCTAGCATTCTTTCTTCTACAGACCACCACCTGATGGGATAGCCCACCGTGTAGGAAAAGGGCAGCAGCTCATCTTTGAAAAGGCTGAAGATTATGGGAAAAGGTTTAAGATTTGACTTAAAAAAATCCACGAAGGGTTTGTAGTTCTCTGGCTGGGTGACTTGATTTCTCTTGCTGATCTCTCAGTGGAGCCAACTGTTTGCACATGACTAGTAATAACTAGGCAGTTTTGTGTAGTACATGGTGTGAAGAGGGAGCGGCCAATAACAGTAAATTCTCAGCCTGATGACCTGAATCTGGAAAAATAAATGGCATTATATTTAAACAATTCGCAGTCCCCTCTGGGGAGCCATGCAGAAGCATAGAGGTTTATCTTCCTGCCAGCTTTGCACATATGTATAGAACACCAATTTTTTGAGGTGAGAGGAGCCTCAGGGAGCATCTGGTCCTATAAATCTCAGCCCCTGCTTTATGGCCTGATGAGCCAATTTCTTAGTAACCCCTGCCTATTCTCCCTGCCCCCAAGCTTCCTTGATCTTAGTGGCTGTGTCTATTTTCTCTCTCATTCTGGGGTCAGTCATTTACCAGTTTGCAGAATAATTTGACTGGGAAACACAGATCTGGTGGTTGCACATTTAAAAAACTATGTTGCAAAAAATTAATGCATTCAAGATTGTGTGGTGATTAACAGAGGAACTGAGCCTTAAACCCATACTTTTAATTTTCTTTTTAAATTTCAAGTTGTTTCTAGTAAGCCAGTGTCCCTCAACCTTGACTGGGTTCCATCCCAGAAATTCTGTTTAATTGGACTGAGGTATGGCAGAGGGAGATGGACTTTCAGAGACTCCTCAGGTGATTCTAGTAGGCAGGCCTGACTGAAAACAGTTGAACTACACCTCACTATCATGCCATGGGCATTAGTTGTTTTAAAGGAACTTGGGGTTGAAAGCAAGCTGGGTTATAGGAGAAGACTATAGAAATATAAGGGATTATAGGCAAAGGGAATAGATCTGATATCTTCATGGATGCTACCTGGGTGGTAGGAGAAATTAATATTGGTTTCTTAATGCAGACTGCGATGGGGACAAGACCACTATTAGATCATAGTGCTTTTGTAGAACAACAGCCCCTCTAGGGAGAGAAGACTCAACCCTGTAGGTTCCTTGGTTGGCAAGAGATGGTCACCTTGTTGGCAAGAGATGGTCACCTTGTTGGCAAGAGATGGTCATCTCAGGGGGTTAAAGAGAACCCCCCCTGCCTTAAAGGATAGAACACTGCACCAAGTACACAATCTAGTGAGCAGAGCAAGGACTGGTTTTCTACCTCCACCTGCCATCTTGGATGGTTCCATGTGCAGTGAACAACATGCATGAGAATTATGGTGATCTGGGGTGAGAGAGTCAAAGCAACTAGAAAAACCCATGCAGCTAAAAGCTGAGTGTCTGACACTTTTTTGACTTACCATACTGCTGAATTTATCTCCTGTGGGGGAAGAGGGACCTGCAAATATGCTCCTAAGGGGGAATTGGTTGGTAAAGTAGAAATGACTGGAGTCCTTGGGAATCTCTCATGCTGTGTTACAGTGGATGAGATCGGGCAAATTCTGAGATATTCTCTAAACCTTAAGAAGCGGGACCTTGGTAGAGCTAAAGAAAAGATGTCCAATCTACAGCATGCGACTTAGAAAATAAGATGGCTCAAGAAAATTGGAAGATTGTCAAAAACAACTCTTAAAATATTTTTTCTGGTTACAAAAGCAATCTAAATTAATTGCAAAAAGTGCAGAAAATAGAATGAGCCCAAAGAAGGAAAAAGTCACTTGAAATTTTACTACTCAGAAATAACCACTAACAGTTTTCTGTTTATCCTATCAGTCTCTTTACATTTAGGATACGTTTATATATACTGCAAAATGGGATCATATGTATAAGACTGTTTTGTTGTCTGCTTTTTCTTGTGACAATATTCCATTGACATCTTCTATCACTAGTTATTCCTCTACCTTGTTATGTTAACAGGTACATGGTAATCCACTTAATAATGCCTTGATAACTTAATCAAATCAATCTCTATTTTGGAATTAATTTTTTTCTAATTTTTAGGATATAATATATATTGTGTGTGTGTGTGTGTGTGTGTGTGTGTGTGTGTGTGTGTGTTCTGTTACTGGAGACTGAATTCAGCAGCACTTAGCCATGGAGCCACATCCCAAACCCTATTTTGCATTTTTTTTAGAGACAGGGTCTCACTGAGTTTCTTAGCACCTAAGAAATTGCCATTGCTGAGGCTGGCTTTGAACTCAAGATCCTCCTGTCTCAACCTCTTTAGCTGATGGGATTACAGGTATGCACCACCGCACCCAGCAGAATATCATATATACTTTGATGAGCATTCTTTGAATTTATCTTTTGCCACATGTATTAGAATTCTCCAGAGAAACAAAATCAATATAAATATGTGTATAAATATAAACGAAGAGCTTTATTATGAGAATTGGTTTACATGATTATAGAGACTGAGAAGTGCCATGATAGTTCATTTGCAAGTTGGAGAATGTTATGGTTTGGATATGAAGTGTTCTCCAAAAGTCCTTATATTAGAATATGTATGGTCAGAGGCAAAATGATTAGGTTATATATCCTAATCAATTCATCCTGTTTTGAATGGACTAACTGGATGGTAACTGCAGGTAGGTGATTAGAGCATTTGGTCACTAGGGATGTGGCCTGGAAGGGTGCATCTTCCCTGTGGCCCTTTTAGCCCTGTTCTCTCTGCTTCCTGATTGACATGAATGGAGCAGTGCTTTTCCATAACACTCTTTGGCCACGATGTAGTGCTTCATCTTGGGCCCAAGGTAATGGTGTCAACTGATCATGGACTGAACCTCTGAAAACATGAGCTCCAAATAACGCTTCCTCCTCTAAGTTGTTCTTGTCAGGTATTCTTGGTCACAGTGATAAAAAGCTGACTAACACAGAGAACCAGGAAAGCAGAGTAGTTGACTGAGTTCCAACTGGGAGATGGGAAAGGTGGGTGCTTCTGGTATACATTCGTGAGTCTGAAGGCTTGAGAACCAGGAGTCAAGAGCTCTAATGTTAAAGGACTGAGTTAGATGGATGTTCAAGCTCACAAAAAGAGACAGTTCATCTTTTTGTTATCTTGGGGTCCTCAATGGATTGGAGGGTGCTCAAGCTCATTGGTGAAGGTGGATCTGCTTTACTTGGTGTACTGATTCAAATGTTAATCTCTTTCTGAAATACAGACACACCCAGAAATAATTTTTCCAGCTGTCTGGACATCCCTTAACACAGTCAAGTTAATCATCCATGGCTTTTTGGGTAAATTCTTAGAAGTGGACATTGTTCAAACACATCTTACAAGACACAGACTACCATTTTCAGCTCCCACCAGCAGTGGCTGAGAACGGGTGTTTCCTGGAGGTTCCTCATATGTGAGTCAAAATGATATCTGTGATTTAGTAGTTCTTCTACTCTAATGAGACCTGAAAGGCAAATGCAGAGGTTGGGACTTTGAAAATGGGAAGTCCCAAAGAACTGGTTCCAGGACTCTCTAATCATGCTTTTGAAAAGGTGTTTGTCTCTCTAGTGCTGAACTCTCTGATCCAGAGGAGTGATGAGCCTTGTATGTTCCCTCTCCTTATCATGATACCAGGGTCAGGGTTCTTTCTAGGCTCTGTTCATAGACATCCTCACTGCATGCACCTGGCTGCCCAGTTCTGCCTGTGAGCACAGTGGGAAGGATGGAGTGGGGTGGACTTGCTTTTGTAAAGGAATAAAAAGAGCTGGGAGGCATTCAACACATTGCCAAGTGAGGAGGACGCAGAGTTCTTTTCTTAGAAACCTCTTTCTTCTGCTTTTTTGGTAATAAAGTTTAATTTTTTCATCGTAAAAGTAATGCACACTCTTTGAAGAACGTGAAAAATTTAGGCATGTAAAATGAAGGCGATGTCACCCATGGTCATATCACTCAAGGACAAATGTTGGTACATGTGTTTCCAGTTTGTGTGTAGTTGTCTCTTTTATACAGTTGTAGTCATGCTATCTAAATTATTCTGTATTGCTTTTTTTTTTAAAAACCAACATTATCAGGCATTATCCTTGTTAATACACAGTTTTGAAGAATGTTTTTTGACTATGTAATTTTCTGTTTGGTGAATGAACACCACACATTGTTTAGCATTATTTAATGTTTAGACTATCATTTCCATTTTGCAAATAGAAAACTGATCCCTGTAGGAGTTATAAGGTAAGAAATACAACCAGCATTCTTTCCATCCATCCATCCGTTGTTCAGTTATCCATTGATTCAACAAGAATTTATATAGAACCTGTTATGTATCATACTGTAAGGCTTTTGTAGGCAAAACCCATCCTGATTATGTGATATTTATAAATCAGGGGACCATAAAGGCTTATTGGGACAATGCTTTGGTACTATTAGAGCCCACAGAAGGGGCACCAAGCTCAGGTTCATGAATTCTTCTTGGAGGAGATAATGTTGAAGCCCATTCTTGAAGGAAGAGTGAAAATTGGGCAAAGAAAAAAAATATTATGAGGAGAGCAAAGCAGCAGCTCATAGAGATGAAGGAAGCATAATGTGCTTTGGAAACTACAAATAAGTCACCATAGAGCTTGTTGGGAGAGATGGGGGTGGGTTTGTAGACAGGGCTTAGTTCATGATAGCGTCTATACTCTCCTAAGAACTTTGAACTTTACCCTAAAAGCACTGGTGAATACTCAGTATGTTTTAGATAAGAGATTTACACAATCCTATTTTGATTTTAGGAGGACACATGGACTATCAAGGTGGAGAGTGGACTTGAGAGACCAGAGCCATGGAAACCAGATAGGTCAGTATTCAGATAAAAAGTGACAGGGCCTACACTGACATGGGGAAGTTGGGATGGAAGGAAAGACATGACTTAAGAAATAATTGGGTGACAAGATGGAAAGCAGATGTGAATTTGTGAAGTCTGTACAGGGAATGGGGCAATATGATCATTTAACTTAAGAACCCATGAAGAGAGGAGACAATGAGGTCTGTCTTGGAGCTTATTCATGGATTTTTTTTTTAGGTGCCTGTGTAACAAAGTGGGTATTGGGTAGATAAAGATAAGAGGTTTGGGTGGAGAAAAAGATGAGGAGCCATCAGGATAGAGATGATGGCCAAAGCCCTCAAGGATGAACATTAACCATGGAAAGTGCAAAGCTATGGTTGTCACCTACTGTAATCATGTGCCCTTTTATAGACCTCAGGAAACCCACAGACCTGCAATCTAGAAATCTACAAAGAGAAGTAAATAGAAAAATTTAAATAATTTTATTGAAGTTTATAGGTACCATGAAAATCAATCACAGCGTAAAATTGAAAAATGAAGTTTAAAGCAGAATTCTGAAGGACACTAGTATTTCTGGGGCAGGTGGCAGAAAATAAATCTTAAGAGGAAATGGAGAAGAAACTGCTTCAGGGTTGGGCAGGCAAGATGAAAACAGATGCATGATGTTCTGAAATGAGACAACAGTTTCAGGAAGGACAAATGTGGTTGATAGTGTAAAGGGGTTAAGATGAAATTGAAGGTTATGTCCTTCAGATGAAAGAGAAGCTCAATAGCTTGAGCATCAAGAACAGAGAAAAGATCTAAGTCTTCCAGTTTGTAGGCCACTGTTCTTTTTCTATGCCTTGCTTCTCCAACTCCCATTCAGAATCTCAGGGGAAAGAGCATTCACCAATCACAAAGAACCCCTCTCTGTTTTACGGAGCCCATTTTAAGCAAATTTGGTACATGGGAATAGGAAACAGCAGGTAGCTGCTGGGCTTAGACTGCTCCATCTATTATTGGTCTTAATTTTCTACCCCTGCATATATGCATGCCTATAACTGGCAGCTTTGCAGCTCCTTCCACAAAAGGGCAAATAAATTTCCCTGCTTCTTGACTTTTGGCTGAGGCCCATCTTCTGCTTTGTTTGGTTGGCTGACAGACATGTTGCAAGCAAGAGTTTGGGATGCCTTGTGAAGTTTGTCTTGCCCTTTTGAGATTGTGTCATTGTCCTGAGAAAAACGTGCTTGGCTGGCTCAATGGTCCTGAGTGAAAGAGGGACATGTGAGGTAGAGACAACCCAGCTGACCCTCAAACTCACAAGTGAGAAAGCTGTGCTTGTTATTGTATGCCATTGAGACCGTGAGGATCTTTGTTCCAGAGCATCCTTGGGTTTTCCAGTATTCTTTTAATAAAACTTTGCAGCTTTAGAAAACATTTGTTTGTCTTGCCTTTCCTGGTCCCAGCTCATTGTCTCTCTTCCTGATTCACAGCTGAAGTCATCATTCCCCAGCCATAAACTCACTATCCTGCTCCCAGGACCTAATCTGAGCAGAAGGGATTGAAGCAGCTCTAGCCCCACTTCCTGTTGCGCAAGTAGACTCACTTTGGAGGCTAGACCAGCACAATCTGGCACTGATGTACAAATATGGTGTTTTTTTAAACCTATATTTGTTCCCAGTCCTAATTAGGGACCCTTCCTTTCCACCCTAATTGATATGCATTAGAGCAATCATTTAATATATTTTATTGGGCAGTGCTATAGTTGGTCTGCGGTTTAAGCATATCCTCCAAAGTTTCATATGTTGGAAGTTTGGTCCCCGGTGTGATTATATTAAGATGTGGGGGGATCTTTAAGCAGTGGGGCCTGGTAGGGTCAATAGGTTGTTGGAGGCCTGTCCTCAAAAAGGACTGAAGTAGTTCTTGTGTGATCCCAGTCTCTCTCTGACTTCCTGTCTCACCATGTGATCTCTCCCTCTCCTACACAGTTCCACCACTGTGATGTCAATAACCATGAGGTCGGCACCAGAACCAAGCTGATGCCAGTACCATGCCCTTGAATCTCCAGAACTTTGAACCAAATAAACTTCTTTTCTTTATAAAGTACCTAGATGTGGGTATTCTTGATAGGAATGGGAAACAGACTAATCCAGACTGTTACTATATGCTAGTCCTTTAAAAGCAAAAAAACCTCAAAAAACAAAAACAAAAACAAAAACAAAAACAAAACAAAACAAAAAACACACCCACAATTAAAGAAAATAGTTGTTTGTTTACACGTAAAACACCCAATGCAATGCCTGACATGTAGTTGGGGATCTGCTGATGCGAACACATTGCTATTCTAGAAAATACCTTAATGAAATTTTCATGCATAATTCTTGGTTTCTATTTTTCTAAAATTTTTAAATATTTTTAATTACAAAAGCAACGTGTACTTGTTTTAACAAATTGAAATATCAAATTACATTTACATTTTAAATTAATTGACAAACGTGTGGCTTTTGTGTCTCCCAGGGAGACACAAAACTGTTGGGTAAAACTAAGCTCAGCTATGGCTCATCTTATATTCTATGCTTGGCACTGGGTGTGGCATAGGGTAAATTCCCAATTTAGTGATACTATAGAGCTTAGTTTGGCTGAGACTCCTGCCATGAACATGGAAATGGCCTCCTACTGGGGCTCCACTCCTCCAGCCCCTACCCACTGCTGCCTGATTAATTAATTAAAGCCTATTTAATTAAAGTGCATTTTCAATCCTGTCTCTTGGTGCTCCAAGCCCTTCCGTGGCTCCCCATTGCCTAATGGAATCATTCTAATTCTAAATCCAAAACCACTCTTTCAGCCCATTCCTCTCACTCCCTCCTCATGAGCCCAGCACAGCCAAACTGCACAGGTCCTTAAATGGCCCCTCATTCTCTACCTTCTAGGTCTTGCTCTCTCCTTTGCGGGGGACACCTTTTCCTCAATCTCTACTTCCTTGCCCATTTTTATGAGCTTCTCAAAGTCCTATCTCCATGAACCCCCTATTTTTTCACCTAGAATTGCTTTCCTTCTAATGCCATAGCACCATTGCTTCTTTGGACCAGGTTCCTCACCTCAGTTCTGCCGAGAGTTAGGGACTAGTAACTCCTGGTTGTGGGGCTGTCCTGTGCATTCATGTTAGGATGTCTGTCAGCATCCTGGGCTTCTACCTACTAGACACTGGTAGCCCCTCCACCAGCTAGTGTGACAGCCATTGCAGCCATTGTCCCAAGTCTGCTGGAAGGGCAAATTGCCCCCATTAAAAGTCACTGGTCTAAAGTAATAGATATGCAACAAATCTTCTGCCACACTCAGGGCTTATGTCTTCCTGGGCAGATGCTACCTATGCACACCAGGCCCTTTCAAGCCTCCAAGCCTTTGTTCAGGTTGTTTCCTCTCCCAGAAATGCCCTTTCCCTTCCTCCTTCATTGGATTATTTCCTCCCAAGTCTTCAAATCTTGGTGTGTGCTGTGTCTTCTTGTGGCCTCTCCCAACCTGCCTCCTCCTTCCCCAGGTAGAACGAATGGCTCTGCTCCCTGGTTCTGGCAGCACTTTGCATGGACCTTGGTCACAGCTCACCAACCCATGAGCTGTGTTCTAGAAAAAAATAGTTGAAGTGTTTGTTTCCCCAGGTAGAATGTGACTTGTGGCATGGTAGGGACCTTGGCCTGCTGAGAAGACAACCAAGCACAAGGCAGTGCCTAGAAGTTGCCATGCAGCTCTACAAGTTTTGGATGGTGGTGTCCAGGTTCAAATCCCAGCTGAAGCATGTGCTAGCTGTGTTATTTTGGGTGACATATTGAGCTTCTCTAGAGCCTTAATTTTTCTCTCTGTAAAAATGATAAAATAATAGCATTAATAGGTTCTATCTTCCTGGATTGCGTCAAGGATTTTGTATATTAATACATGCAAAGTGCTTACCAGATGCTTGGCACATAGTAGTGCTCCATAAATCTTAGAAGTTGATGGAGAATGAATGCATATGTGTTGAACCAGCCTAGGAGGGGGATCAGATCTCATAGCCAAAGCAGGCTGATACACCCTCTGTAGCCAGGATGCTGGCCCTCAGAACAGAGACTCCCCTGCCCCTTCCAGCTGTCCTCCCTTGTCCTCCCCAGCCTGGGCAGCATGGGCAATGGGCACGGGGGGCCTCAGGGAGCAGAGGGCTGTGGGATCACTTCAGGGTGAGGTAGCCAGGTTGGGCGGAACAAGGACAGACATTAAAAACCTATTTTCTCACTGGGCATAAGTAATTGGCAAAAAAGCTCTAAATCCATAGCTGTCAGGTGAAGTCATTTCCGAGAGAAGAAGATGGAGGGAGAGAGCAGGAGCAGGGAGCCCGGGTGGGAGGGAGCCAGGGGGAGGGAGTGAAATGCAAAGCAAGTTGCTGGAGAGGCCAGGGCAGAAAATCTTCTGCTCCCAGCCCAGGTTATTCTCTTCCTCTCTAACCCCACCACTGCCCCCCCCTTCTCTCTCTCTCTTTCTGGAAAAAAAGAGGTTTCTAAGGTGATGAAGGCAAAGAAAGGCGTCCATGGAATTATTTAATGAGCCAGAATGAATTGCATTTGAAATCATTTAAATGGGATTTGGGAGCATTTAACTGCAGCTCGGGATCTTAACTAGAGTGGGAAAGGATCTTTGTGCTAATTGCTGGCAATGATATTCCTACAGAGAATGAGAGATAGCAGTGAGAAATTAGCAGATGGAGGGGTAATTTTAGGGTCTGCACTGCTTGGCCAGGAGAGTAAGCACCTTGGTGGAGCTGCCCTGGGGAGCCCAAGGCCCCTAGTAGGGGGACAGGCAAAGCCTGGAACTTGTGGGGAGATGAGTGGGGGAGAGGGATGCTGAGGTGCTGAGGTGGGGAATACCACCTCTGGGTTTCAGGGACGGAGGTAGAGGTAGGAGGTGGGGGTCCAGCATCTTCCTAAGGGATGGGCAGGGGGTATGAGGGTGTCCAGAAGGGAGATAAAGTGAGACTTTTAGCCCCTGCTTTGGTCCCAGTCCCACCT